TGTAAACCTCCATACATTTACCCATGTCACGAGATGTAAGCCTCCTTACATTTACCCCTGTCACGAGATGTTGTTACAACAGTTCAATAAGACTTTAAATTATTTAATGAGAGATATCAGTGTACCATCAAATAATATGATTGTTACTTGAAATCCTTTTCTATTTCAGAATGACTCTCCTTCAATTTTACTGACCTTGACCTTTGGAATTTCTATGTGCTCACGATGAAGCGATGGTTGCCATGGAGATTGCGCAACAAACAATGTACCTTCTACATCGGTGGCACTGTTATAATTGTTCTACTTATCTTACAGTGTTTCAATCACTGGGAAGTCTCAAGGTAGGTTATCTCCCCAAAGAAGGAAGTCTTCAGATAGGTTATCTCCCCTTAGAGGGAAGTCTCCAGGTAGGCTACTTCCCTTTACAGGAAAGTCTCCAGGTAGGTTACCTCCCTTAATAGGGAAGTCTCTATGTAGAATACCTCCGCTCACAGGGAAGTCTCAAGGTAGGTTACCTACCATTACAGGGAAGTCTTCAGGTAGGTTACCTCCTTTCACAAGTAAGACTCCATGTAGGTTACCTCCCTTTAGAGGGAAGTCTTCAGATAGGTTATCTCCCATTACAGGGAGTCTACAGGTAGGATACCTCCGCTCTCAGGGAAGTCTCAAGGTAGGTTACCTACCATTACAGGGAAGTCTTCAGGTAGGTTACCTCCTTTCACAAGTAAGACTCCATGTAGGTTACCTCCCTTTACAGTGAAGTTTTCAGGTAGGTTACCTCCCTTTACAGGGAAGTCTTATTGAGGTAGGTTACCTCCATTTACAGGGAAGTCTTAAGGTAGGTTACCTCCCTTTACAGGGAAGTCTCCATGTAGGTCACCTCCCTTTACAGGGAAGTCTCCAGGTCAATTACCAACCTTTACATGGAAGTCTCCATGTAGGTTACCTCCCTTTACACGGAAGTCTCCAGGTAGGTTACCTCCCCTCACCAGTGGGAGACAAATATTTGTACCAGTAGAGGAAATGTCTCTGTTCCAGTGAGAGAAATGTCTCTGAACCAGTGGGAGAAATGTCTCTGTACCATTGGGAGAAATGTCTCTTAACCAGTGGGAGAATTGTCTCTGTTCCAGTGGGAGAAATGTCTTTGTACAAGGGGAAGAAATGTCTCTGTACCAGTGGGAGAAATGTCTCTGTTTCAAAGGGGAAAATGTGTATGTACCAGTAGAGGAAATGTCTCTGTTCCAGTGGAATAAATGTCTCTGTACCAGTGGGAGAAATGTCTCTGTACCAGGGGGAAAAATGGCTCTGTACCAGTGGAAGAAATGTCTCTGTATCAGTGGAAGAAATGTCTCTGTACCAGTGGGAGAATTGTCTCTGTACCAGTGGGAGAAATGTCTCTGTACCAGTCGGAGAAATGTCTCTGTACCAGTCGGAGAAATGTCTCTGTACCAGGGGGAAAAATGGCTCAGTACCAGTGGAAGAAATGTCTCTGCACCAGTGGGAGAAATGTCTCGGTACCAGTGGGAGAAATGTCTCTGTACCAGAGGGGAAAATGTCTCTGTACCAGTCGGAGAAATGTCTCTGTACCAGTGGGATAAATGTCTCTGTACCAGGGGGAAAAATGGCTCCGTACCAGTGGAAGAAATGTCTCTGTACCAGTGGAAGAAATGTCTCTGCACCAGTGGGAGAAATGTCTCTGTACCAGTGGGGAAAATGTCTCTGTACCAGTCGGAGAAATGTCTCTGTACCAGTGGGAGAAATGTCTCTTAACCAGTGGAAGAAATGTCTCTCTACCAGTCGGAGAAATGTCTCTGTACCAGTCGGAGAAATGTCTCTGTGCCAGTGAGGGAGATGTCTCTGTACCAGGGGGGGAAATGGCTCTGTACCAGTCGGACAAATGTCTCTGTGCCAGTGAGGGAGATGTCTCTGTACCAGTCGGATAAATGTCTCTGGACCAGGGGGAAAAATGGCTCTGTACCAGTGGAAGAAATGTCTCTGTACCAGTGGAAGAAATGTCTCTGTACCAGTCGGAGAAATGTCTCTGTGCCAGTGAGGGAAATGTCTCTGTACCAGTGGGAGAAATGTTTCTTAACCAGTGGGAGAAATGTCTCTGTACCAGTGGAAGAAATGTCTCTGTACCAGTGGGGAAAATGTCTCTGTACCAGTGGAAGAAATGTTTCTGCACCAGTGGAAGAAATGTCTCTGTACCAGTGGGAGAAATGTCTCTTAACCAGTGGGAGAAATGTCTCTGTTCCAATGGGATAAATGTCTCTGTACCAGTGGGATAAATGTCTCTGTACCAGGGGGGGAAATGGCTCTGTACCAGGAGAAGAAATGTCTTTGTTCCAATGGAGGAAATGCCCCCTAACCAGTGGGAGAAATGTATCTGTACCAGTGGGAGAAATGTCTCTGTACCAGGGGAAGAAATGTCTCTGTACCAGAGGGGAAAATGTCTTTGTACCATTCGGAGAAATGGCTCTGTACTAGTGGAAGAAATGTCTCTGTTCCAGTTGAAGAAATGTCTCTTAACCAGTGGGAGAATTGTCTCTGTTCCAGTGGGAGAAATGTCTCTGCACAAGGGGAAAATGTCTCTGTACCAGTGGTAGAAATGTCTCTGTACCAGTGGGAGAAATGTCTCTGCACCAGTGGGAAAAATGGCTCTGTACCAGTGGAAGAAATGTCTCTGTACCAGGGGGAGAAATGTCTCTGTACCAGGGGGAGAAATGTCTCTGTACCAGGGGGAGAAATGTCTCTGTACCAGGGGGAGAAATGTCTCTGTACCAGTGGAAGAAATGTCTCTGTTCCAGTGGGAGAAATGTCTCTGTACCAGTGGGAGAAATGTCTCTGCACCAGTGGGAAAAATGGCTCTGTACCAGTGGAAGAAATGTCTCTGTTCCAGTTGAAGAAATGTCTCTTAACCAGTGGGAGAATTGTCACTGTTCCAGTGGGAGAAATGTCTCTGTAGCAGGGAAAGAAATGTCTCTGTACCAGTGGGAGAAATGTCTCTCTACCAGTCGGAGAAATGTCTCTGTACCAGTCGGAGAAATGTCTTTGTACCAGTTGGAGAAATGTCTCTGTACCAGTGGGAGAAAATTATTTATATCAATGAGACAAGCATATTTGTACCAAAGGGAGAAAAATCTCTGTACCAGTGGGAGACAATGTGATCTAAGTCGTCACATGTATGTCATTGGTAAATGAGCTTTGTACAAACTGCTTTATGCCTGATAAATTTATATTTTTTCAGTAATTATTGAAAGATACACTATTTCTGTAATTTGTTTCAGTTTATTTGTTAGTGAAATTTAGTGTTGAAAAATGTTTCGGAGGTTAGAGACCTTTGGACATGGTACTCTCATTTAAATTTTAAAAATCCTTTTTTATCATATATTTTCCGAATACTGTTTTGTAACTTGACTGATACCATTTACACATGGACCTTACCTCTTACAGGAACAGGGAATGTTTGGGGGACGGTCCGTCACATGACAAGAACACCCATGCCGTCAGGCAAGGTAAGTTTCTGTGGGAGATCAAACTGCATTCCTTTTTTGAACACAAGCCAGACATAGTAGCTATAATGGTTGCCAAAATTATTTCTTCAAACATTTCTATTTAAGGATTGAAACTTGCAATGATCGAGTTCAAAGGATGATGACCTGTTTGATCTTTTGACAATGATAATAAAATTGATGACTTCCTGAAAAGCTGCATTCAAGGAGATATACCTACAGTAGTTTATAATCAAAGAAAAAAAGGTTTTGCTGATATTGTCACATTTTTCTTAATATCATTTCCCTTTATATCACATTTCCCGTAATATCAAATTTTCCTTTGATAAATGACACAGGATCATGCTTTATTAGTCTTGTTATACAAAATTTAAAGTCAGTATCGTTCTAGAGTTTGGAGGTTCTCTATCCAAACCTCTGCATGACTTAATGTTGAGTTATCTAACGCCAGTAACATGTGGCACCCCATGCGCTACACACACAAGTGTGTTGTCAACTTACAGCTGAACAGAAAGTACGTAGATGTACTAGATGAGCAGAGACCAGATGAATCGGTTAGACTGTCTGTAGAGCTAGGAGATTTCGGGGGCAAATCTTTGTCCGCCAATTTTGGTTTTTGAGTTATTGACCTTTATAACGCATGTTTGTATTACAGTAACAAGGTTGATTGTGCCGGTTAAAACAACTTCACAGTCAAACATTGTGGCGACTGTGATGACACGTAAGTCAAGAATATAAAACCTTGCACTGTAACCCTTTAATAAGCCTGTAGTTCTGGTAAAGGCACAATGAGCTTTGCATACACGTCCATAACAGTCAAGTAGTCCTTCTACTGTGTACTCTACAACTCCCAACCCCTGACTCTGTGTACTATACAACGCCCAACCCCTGACTCTGTGTACTCTACAACTCCCAACCCCTGACTCGGTGTACTATACAACTCACAACCCCTGACTCTGTGTACTATACAACTCCCAACCCCTGACTCTGTGTACTCTACAACTCACAACCCCTGAATCTGTGTACTATACAACTCACAACCCCTGAATCTGTGTACTCTACAACTCTAAACGCATTAATCTGTGTACTCTACAACTCCCAACTCCTGACTCTGTGTACTCTACAACTCTAAACGCATTAATCTGTGTACTATACAACTCACAACCCCTGAATCTGTGTACTATACAACTCCCAATCCCTGAATCTGTGTACTATACAACTCCCAACACCTGACTCAGTGTACTCTTCTACTCCCAACCCCTGACTCTGTGTACTCTTCTACTCCCCACCCCTGACTCTGTGTACTCTTCTACTCCCAACCCCTGACTCTGTGTACTCTTCTACTCCCAACCCCTGACTCTGTGTACTCTTCTACTCCCAACCCCTGACTCTGTGTACTCTTC